AACAGATGTTTTTGATATTCTAGTTTCAGTAGGTTTAAGATATGACTAGGAGCAGGTATAAAAATTATACACAATTTCCTTTGGGTTTGAATATTTGGCATCTCAGCACACGTGTTTTTCGTATCTCATTTGTCTTTTGTGTCTGCTCCGGAGAACCAGCTATTTTGGTTTATGTCTTCTCATTATTAGATTCAGATTATAAATCAGTAAGACTTGTTTTTCTTCCCCAGATTTAAGTAGCAGTTTGGTTGGTTCTTGGAGTTGAGAGATAGTAGGACAAAGTCAGGTGCTTTTAGATAATTTGCCCCCACATTCTCTTAAGGGTTTGATCAGAATCATTTTGCTTTGGGACTAACTGGAGTAGAAAAATATTTTACTTTGCCCACACTTTTGCACACCCATCTTTGGTGGCTTAGTAAGAAATGAGAGTTGAAAGAACATTCTTATATTTTTGCTGATTTGGCTCCCACATCTCACCACTTAGTTAAGGGACTAGAGAAATAAGGAACTAATAAATACCCCTTTGACGGTTTTTAACCTTTAAAGTCCTGACTATAATTAGTTGCATGATTACAAATTTGGGGGAGTTTTCTTTTAATTTTTTATGATTATATTTTTAAAAACTTTAAAAAAGAGACTTTCAGTGACAGACTTTTTAATCAAAATTGTATGAGAGTCATGATGTTGTATTTATTCACCATAGTGAAGTGCAATTGAGAAATGAACAGACACATTCCAAGATTAATCATGTTATATGATTACTCTGCTGCATTCTGATCATTATGATTCAAAATACTCTTCTAATTCTAGTAATTAATATCTCATGTCTTGTTGCTTTGCTTATCAGTCTTTTTTCCTGTTAAACCATTTATGGAAGGAGCTTATTTTCTGTTTACTTATGTTATCATTTGCTATTCAGTTAAAAACATTGCTATTCATTTATATTGCTTATTCAATATAAGAATCTTAAACTAAGATATAGACAAAGTTAAAAAATGATCAAGAAAAACATAATAGTAGTTGTGCTAAGGATGTGCTTATAGGTGATTATTCTCCCCTTGGTTTTTCTTTAGTACTATCATGGTAATATTTTAACAAAAATCAAATTAAGATTCTGTTATTCTGTTTTTTAAATTTATTTTTTATTTAGGTAAAGTGCACATATATAATTTACCATCTTTACCATTTTTACACATATAGTTCAGTGGTAATAAATATATTTAATTCTTTTTTTCCCTTCATTCTATATATGAACCATTGTCTATTTAATTACATATCACATCTTTTAAGTGTGGAGGATTATTTGTCATCTGAGCTTGCTAAAAATCTTTTCTTTATCATTTGTATAATACCACCATGAACATTATTACTACCAATAATAATAATTACGATAATAGCAATAACAATATCAAACGCTTATATTTTACTTATTATGTGTCAGACATTAAATCCAGATACTTTACATGTATTATTTCATTTCTATTTAATTTTCTACTTAATTTATTTCAGTTTCTAACATATTTACTGAGTTGTGGTGCATCGATAAAGAACACACATATGGCTTACTCTAAAATAATAATAATAATTTTCTGAAGTATATTTGGGAATATACTCCAGAAATCCAGTTTAGGGCTGTGTTATGAATGCTTTATTTTCACTAACATTTGCTGTGATGAAGGTATATATAACAGTTTCTAATTTAAATGTATAATTATCTGTAAAGATCCTATTTTACAATCCTCTAAAGATGACAAGATACTTTAAAGTTTTCAAGTTGTTTCTTGTATATTTTCTAATATTTTGTTTTCTAGTATAGTTGTGTGCCATCAAATCTAAAGACAAGCATCATTTAAATTAGGTTTTTCAGAGACAAGCTCTGATGTGATTGTTTATTCCTTATTCTCACATATCCTAACAAGTCTCCAAAATTTATTCTTTTAGCCACATAATGGAGAATAGAGTACCAAGATTTTTCCTAGTCAATTTCATTCTCCCTAACAAAATATAGAAAATCCAAATTATAGGAGAAGTACAGTATAAAAGTATAAGTGGACAGAGATACCATGCTAATATAGGAGTTAGAATTCTCATGAAAGGGTAATTTAGTGCCTCATACCTTTGATTTAAAGAAATGACACCAAACTTAGGAAATATCTCAATACAACCATATGTCACTGTCTCACATACATTATGAAATCATTCCTGAAAATAACAGAATCAACATTTTAAATTCTCTATTATTATGAAATCGGTATCTATATCAGCTTAATCATTTTGCCATAGATAATGCAATCAAATGTATAGACACAGCCTCAGAATAGAAACCCTCACTGGAATTTTATTCCTTGCAGTGTCTTATAAGATAATTGCAGTTAACACTGCTAGGTTTGTAAGGGCAAAGAATTGACATAGGACAATGGGCCATCTTCTTCCAGAGATTCTCCTTAATCTTGGTTGAGTGAGTCAAGGGCAGAAGGGAGACTTGGCACTTACCTTCCTTCCCTGGTTAACCACTATCATGGCTTCACCAGCCCCTTTCCTCTTCTAGCAAAATCCATTTGTGATTCAGCTCATAATTAGGCAGGGTGCATTTGAACTTGTGGCTATGGCCTCCAAATATTAGAGTGTGGATAAAAGAAGGTGGAGGATCCTCTCCTCAATACTTAATGGAACACTATCCATGGTAATGGTAAATGAAACATTTACCATATTCCCAGTGTATTTATGGGCTCACAACACTGTCTTATTTTTGGAAGGTATATTGGCTTTGAAAATAATATAAATCCATCCTGTTCTCCTCAAAAATAGGGTTAAAAAGCGTATTTTAGCTCATTTAGTTTTTCTTGCTACTTCATGACTCGTAATGTTGCATGTCTTTTGTAACTTGTAGAATTTCCACCCTCACTCTTTCAGAATTTGCCATTTATTTCAGTAACTTAAAGGAGAAAATGAAAAGCAAATGTTGTAAATGTACTTACTTGAAATATAGGAAAATCCCCAGGGAAATGACTAAGGTGAAAATTGACAAAGAATGACCCACAAGAGCCAAATAGTACAGAACGTATGCATTCTGGAACAAAAGAAAAGTTAAAAAAAACAAATGAGTGATTATAGAAGAGGGAAAATAGTTTCTATTTCTAAATATAGGCATAAATCAACAGAAATTTTCCTATTTAAAAAAATCTGCTAAAATTATAACAAATATTTCAGAGAATGAAATTTTTTTTCATCTTTACTCATTTTATGAAAATAAATTAACCTATGGACCTATTTTCTAAGAATTAGATTCCTTGAGGTGAATTAAATCTCATTCAAAAACATAATTCAGAAGTAGTTTTAAATGTGTTAAAAATTATCATCCCTAGGCCCAGTAAGCAATCCAGGAAGGTTTTAACATCTGGAGTCCTTTTACAGACAGTGGATATGTCTACCCTAACGAACTGTCAGAATAGCAATCTACTTTCCAAATTGTCCTGACTTTTGGCAGTAGGAATATACAGAGGGAGCAGAGAATACGGTGGTGGGTTTCTGTGCCTTTGTTTAATTTAGGACTAAAATAGTATCATTAGTATTTACTTGGTTGAAAAAGCCAAAACCTTTATTCTTGACAGACATTTGTTTTTTTTCCCACATTCATGGTGAATTTTATTTCTTCTCTCATAGTGTTATATTAGTTGATTCAAAAGAATGTCTTCCTTTATAAAATGCATAGTATTATAGCACCTTTTTTTCTAGTTATCATACTCTTTCCTTTTCTTACAATATAATTTTAACATTCAGAAAGGAGAGATTGATCCAGTCATCCATCTATGTCTTCTCTGTCTTTTTCTCTCTGTTTCTATTTCTGTCTGCCTCTGTTTCTCTCTCTCCCTCTCTCTCTCTCTCTCTCTCTCTCTCTCTCGCTATGTTAACTCTAGCTTTTGCAATTAGTATTATTTACTCAATTTTGTCAGTTATAATTGGAGTAGACTTGAATCCATTGGAACAGGGGATTTCATTTTCAGCTGCTGTTTTTCTTAATGAAGCATTATTTGTGTATTATTTTGTAGTTGTATTTTTATCTATTGACTTCTGGTCTTAAGGTTCCTTCCACAGTTTGTTGGGTCTTGATAAAAATGGAAATGTACTGTGGAAAAGTTGAATAATTTCTACGAAGTTCTTTGACTTCCTAGGATAAATATGGTATTTATGTATCCTTGAACACTTTGATTCTTGTCAATTGCCTCGTGAAGAGTCTGGGATTGAAGCACTAATTTTGCTAAAATGCTTTCAAAGTGTGCAAAGCCCTTTGTTTATGTGCATTATTGCTGTCTTGAAACAAAAAGTCCCTTTCTAGGCCTTAGAATTTCAAAATGGACTAATCAACTTTCCTGAATTATGCCTGTTATACCATTTGATCAGGCTTTACATATTGTTTGGCATTTTCTGGGTTGATACCACTCTCCTAACAGCATTTTTTATCCTTACAGGTAATAATAATAAAGTTGAAATAGTTGGTTTATAACTAGAGCTGATAAAATATTCAGATAGCTTTCTTGGGTGGGATTTAGGAATTAAAAAACAAAACAAAACAAAAAACAACGAATACTCCCCTCCTGTCTTTTCTCCCAGGAATTTATTTTCTAGATATTTTTCTAACTTTACCACTAGACAAAATCAGGAGTGGCATCTTCTAAAAGTTCTTCCTTCTAAATAGTTACTATGTAGAATACCCTTGCCACTTAAAATACCATATTTTATTGCATATCCATTCCCCAATCCTCTGTTGGTATTTTTTAAAGTATCCCGCGAATACTTTATTTCTAAGAAAATTTCATATAACTTAATTCATAGTCTTTCGGTTGGCTTCAGATCACTCTTTTTCTAAAAAACTATTTATCCTTCTGAAATAGAGTTGTCTAAATGTGTAAGATTAAATCAACAGCTCATAATTTAGTTGCTATCCCTGTGTCATTCTCAAGGCTGAGAAATTCTGTTTTTCAAAAATAAATTCGAGGTTGATTTCTTCAAAATTTTGGTGACTATATTTATATGGAAGACTTGTGGAGGGAATTTTATTTATTACATTAGGTGTCTACAGGGGAGCATTTCCTCTTAAAATTCTTTACTTCCTTCTCAGATGCGGCCAGGGCATGTGAGGAGGCCAAACATGGCAACACTGAGAATTATTTATTTGGACTTGCATTGTTTACAACAATTCAGTTAACATGGTTATAATTTTTTTCTGTAACATCATGATCAGCACTCATTCAGGAAATCCCTTTCTCATTTAAGGAATTTAAATATTAAATTAAACATTAAAATGACATTATTTTAATCACACTTTATTAAGTAAATATCTCTCCACCAGGGTGTAGACATGCATGTGTCTCTCAGGGGTGACTAAGCAATTTGTGAAGAGGTAACTGGCTTTGGTTCCCTCAGCCTATGCTTGTGATGAGGTGTCCAGAAGGTCTCTAAGCTATCTATTCACTTTGTTTTGTTGTTGTTTGCTTTGTTTTCAATAAAAGGGAAGTTTTGTATACTCCCAAAGCTTCTCAACAGCAAGCAAAAGCAGTGATGTGCTTTTAGCTTCTAACTTAGTAATTATTTAGTATACCAGCCTATCTTTGAAGGAAATAATAGGTTTATTTGCAGGCAGCGGAGTTGCTCAGAGATGCCCTGTATAGCTAAATGTTGACCAGCTGTTTCTTTCAGCTCTGTGAGGTGAGGAGGCTGGCTGTGGACTTAGTGATCTTTTCAGATTTTCGATGCATCTGAAGAAGAGAGAGTATCTTTTTCCTCCCCTCCACCCGCCTTAAAAAATGTTTCTGAGCAGAGTTCATATTCAAAGTATCTAACAGCCAGTAAGATGCTGGTACTAACCAATAACCCCTGGAAATAATCTAAACAGCCATATCTGGATCAATGGGCAGAGAAGCCCCACTTTAGGGTTCCGTCAACGCCTGATAGTAAAACTAAGGTCATAGTCAAAACAGGGGAGGCAACTGTTAGCTTGGGGGTTGTAGAAAAATTTGTAACTTCGTAACTCTTCCAGGAAAATGGAGATGTTAGAGATTCCCTCGAAATGTTGCAATTTCTGGAATCCCATCATCTGCTCTATGGAACTGTTCCCTTTGGCATCAATGGCCTGATTCCATATGCTCAAGGAACCCATTGACACCGAGTGCCAACCAAGAAGTGAAATGTCATTTTCTCTAATGCCACTTTGTAGAGTCCCTAGAATTTACAAGTCATCATCTGATTTCTTTTCATAAAATCTGTTGGCTTCTTGGTAGCGGATATTTTATAGTCATGCATCCATTTCCATGTACAAATAATGATATCCTCACCCGATACTGAAATGTGACATAGAACCTACCTGCAGTTTCTCAGGAGTGAAAGCGTTACACAGAGTATAGTTGGACCAGCTTTGATTAGTCTCAGGATGTTTAAACCAATCACCGTTTTCATCACAGTATCTTGTAACCCTTTCTGTTAATGAAACAACAGTTATTTCATTAATATCTTAAAATCCCACGAAGAAAAATAATAAATTTAAAGCTTAAAAGCCATTCCCATATGTTAATGACTTTATAGCACTTGAATGTGAATATAAGTCAATAGAGACCATTGTGAATCATGTATTTAAACGAGGAATTTTAATATGTGTCATCTCATTTTATCTTCAGCAGGGCCCTGTGAAGCAGTCATTACCATCTCTATTTTACAAACAGGAAGCAGACAGTAAGAGGGGATATGGAGCTTGAAAAACCACTAGGATTGAGCCAGGATTTAAATCCCAAGACTTGGGTTTCTGTCAGACTCCAAAGTGCTACCTATGCTCTACCTCAAGTTTTTTAAACAGACATTAAACCGTTGATTACAGATGAAAGCTATGTGAGAAGAACAAGACCATACCTTTCTTCATTTACATGCAATATTTTTTATTAGGTTGACTGTATGAAACTGCAGCTTCTGTGGATGAAATGGTCAAATATTCCCAATTTCAAATGTTTAAATCCAATAGAGCAAAGAAGTCCAAAGCCTATTTTTTTGGCCTCTCAAAAAGATTTCATTTGAATCATCTCTATTCAGCACACAGAAAATATATTGGGATTCATAGCTTTAGCCTCTGCTATTTACTTCTTTAAACATCTCTTAGATGCTAGTGAAGTTGCTGACTCAGCTGGATTAACATATTAAAGATCTCTGCACCCTTGCTAAGTGGCCAGACACTATGCTAAGCACTTTGCAGAATAACCTCCTTTAACATTAATTATGACCCTTTGAGGTGAGTATTATTCTTCCCATTTTACCTATAAGGAAACTGAGGCTCAGAGAAGTTAAGGAAATTTCACTTCCACAGAGAGCAAGTAGTCAATCCAGGAATCAAACCCAGGTCTACTTGATCCCAAAGCTACTGCAAGGCTAGTAAGCTTTGTATTAAGCCTCTTATTCCTGTGGTAGTGTGCTTAGTGATCAGAGGAAAATGAAACGGCCAGTCCCTAGTGGTGAGACGCAGGTGCAGGTGAGAAAATGAGATGATGGAAATGGCACCTGGAAGTTGGCTTTGGCATAGAAATAAAAGAAAATGCTGGTTTGGCCAACCGTCTTTTTGGGATTGATGCTTAGCAAAGAGGAGGAAAAAGCCTGGCATCTCACCATCCCTCCAACGAGCACCTCAATGATTCTGGGGTTGCTCACTGAGCTTAACAGTTCTGTTAATGTTAAGAGTTTTCTGTAGGAAAAGAACAAGAAGACTTTCACGGGGTCTTGAGAAAGAACCTTCCCAAGTGCTTGCTTTGTGGTGCCCAGTGGTTTCATCATGATTACTTTTTCAATTATTTTTGTGTGATATTCAGTGCTGGTATTGAGCCTTAGTGTTTTTTGAATTTTAATCATCTTTGGCAGTGTCCATGTGTCTGCACCAAGTAACATTCCAAACTTGATAGAAACAATAAATTCCCATAAGAGTGACTTATAATCTCTTTGCTGAAATTCCCACTAAAATATTATGATGACAACTATGATCATTAAAAAAATAACATTTGATAACTCACTATGTGTCAGACCCTGTATCAAGTGCTCTCTCTTAAAAATAAATAATAAAACTTTTCTTTGTCCTGTATTTTGCTTAATCGTCAGTTGACTATATATCTGAGCTTGTGGGTCAAGTGCATGAGGCTGGGAAAAACAAATTTAACAATCACAGTAATATATATCGAGGAGGGGGATAAGCAAAAAGTAGTCAGAAAGGTGAGATAATATTTATCAAGACATTAGTGCCAGCAGGCTAAATACATTTTAAAACCAGTATATTGTTAGCAAACAGCAGAAATGATACTTGAATAGCATTAAAATTCACTTTATTATTATGATACTAGTCTACAATATTTTAATTTGGTACTGGGACTCCAGAAGGTAAAATCCCATAAATGTTCAAGGTTGTCTACACTCCATTTCACTGACCTAAAGAATTATAAATAATGTTGTTGGCTACAATGTAGTGCTTAAATGCTAACCTCCTAATTGGCTAAGCAGGTGGAAGAAAAAATTATACTGAATTAAATAAAATATAAATAATGAGCAAGTAAACGTTAAAATGAATGTGCTTGCCAAATTTAATTTGAGTTATTCAGATACTCTCTAGTTCTCCAGAGCACTTCTACAATGTGTTTATTGCCTCAGAGATCAAATAGGAACCCTAGATTGGTATAATATGAAAAGAAATTCTCCCAGTATATTCGGAATGCTCATAAAATTTTTATTTTTGATAATTTCTTAGGGAAAACATTTGTGTTGACGAAGACAAAGAGTTGTTCTTATGGATAACACTCTAATACATCGCTATTTTCTTTTTTAGCCCAGGGATGTAGAAGTTAGTATCATGTACTAATATTTGGAGGATACTGCCTTGTTTTAATGGCTAAGGAAACAACTTATGATAAAAAATACTTAGCTGAAATATCACTGAGATTTGATAATATTTAAAATAATTTTCCATCAGTAGTTTTTGGTTAGTAAACCTGTTAAGAGCTAGTACAAAAATGCTTTTATCAGTTTTTAGGTGAAATTCATCACTTTTCATTGTGTACATGAAACAGATATTACTGAATTAAATGTGAGATTTAAACTGCAAGTTACATATTTGTTTGTATGCTTACTCCAACAATTATTTCGATTATTTAAAATAGATAAAAAAAACTTTTTTTCAAGCAAAAGATGTTTTTAAGCAACCTGCTAGAATCATTGCTGCTTTATGTAAATCTGTTACAAAGTAGAAAAATTTAAAATGAAATTTGCTGAAATAGCCATTGGACAAAACCTATTTAGTTTCACTATTGAACACAATGTTCGAAAAAGGGTTAGCACTAATAAGCCGAGAAAAATTGACATTGAAAATTTGTCAATGATTTTGCTAATGCTATTTGTCGATGATGACCATACCAAGCTTACTTGCCATTTTAAAAAAGTAGTTTGTAATGGCAACATTTTGCCTTGATTAGATTGTCAGATAGCTGTTTCCTAAAAATCAAAATGAAAATAATTTGGTTTTACCAAAGTTGTGTAGCCATTTATGGGAAAATATACAGTGTGCAGAAGGAAAGGTATTCCTCCTGAAGAAGCCCGTTCCAATCATGGATAAGACTAAAGAAAACAGTATTTTTTGTCTTATTTTAACTAAAGTCTGGATGTAGATATTTCTTGGTTTTAACTGTTGCAACCATCAAGAGTTTGTCAACTTTCACCTGACAAGTCTTTCAATATTTGAAAACAGGGTTATGTTTACCGAGTCTTCCCTTTCCAAACTGAACATCCCCAGTGACTCGCTCCATGGGGCTTGTTGTCCCCTCATAGCCCGGAGACTCTCTGCATGTGCTTTGATATTGATGTTTCTCTCTCAAATACACTAGGTATGGACAGACCCAGGGAAAATACAGTGTGCTTCTCTCACTCTAGATTCACATGGTGGAATTTTGTAGATTTTCATGCTTTATTCCTAGAGATTCAAATTCTATTGATCTGGAGAGGGGTCAGGCGTCAGCATTTTTAAAAAGCTCACCAATTCCAAAGGGTATCAAAGTTGAGAATCACTGCCTTAAACCATATTTGGACCATCCTGGCTCTGTGCTGTTAACGTTGATAGCTTGACTCCAAGGGCAGGGATGTACATGCTTCCTTGTTAAGTCTTGCTTTTTACACTCTAGCATATTCCTTCACACTGTCAGCCTCTTTTGAATTCCAATAAAGTTATAAAGTTCTTCACTCTTTCACTATCTGTTTTTCACCAAGCCCTTTTTTCCGAAATGAAACCTCTGACACTTCATTAATGTGTTTTGTGCATCATTAAGAGGTAGCGTTAGGTCAATAACAAAATCCTGAAGAATTTAAGTTTGTCAAATATAGACATTTTTAAGATGTGCTTTTAAAGTGGATTTGTCCCCCAACTGAGAGGGTTCTATCTAAAAACCAGGCTGAAAAGATGGATCAATGCCTGAAAATATGTTTTGCTGATCAAAACCATGCCTTTTAGTCAATATTTATAGCCACTTTGGCAAGATCCCGCTGCTATTTTGGAACTGGCCTAGTAGCCTCAATTACGGAGCAGCTCTTCACGCCAATCAAGTTACCTCTAATGTAGTTGTCAAATCAAGATTAATGAAGCATCATTTAGTGGGAAGAGTCAATAAAGGCCCAAAGGATTATCATCTCATAGCATTTAGCGAGAGTTTCCAGGAATGTAGCTCTGAGTTAAGGCACTGCACAAAGCTCTACCTTTCTTTACATCCCCACTTTTCCATCAGAATGGGAATTCCCAGAAGTGAGGGGCCTGCGCTGGTTTGAAAAGAGCCCCCTGTAGTCCCACTTCCATTGCATCTGTCTCACTGGGGTAGAATTTTAGTTTCAGGGACAAATGAGATCTTACCCTTGAAGGAGGCACAAAAAGGATCTTCCAGACATTGTCTCAGGGATAGACTCATTTCTCTGCTCTAATTGGAATTCTAGAGCCACTCACACAACCTTTGCAGGCCCAGGTTTACTTTACTCTTGGAAGCAAATCTCACCACTTACCAGGGACTTCCATGCTGTATCTGTAGCTGATCATATTTAGTTGTAGCATCTGGGCCTCCTTTATAACTGAGATTGATACCTCCTTTTCAGTATCTTATTCCTCAGTTTATTTCAATGGGACAGATTTTCTATCTAGTTTCGTGCAACAGAATTTTTCTGGCCCTGCCACCCACAGTTCCTGGTTCTGGGCTTCTACTACCTTTTACTCCTCCGGGAGCCACCTTCCTCTGTCCCCTGCCTCAGGCTCATCCAATACTGGGCTCTGCCTCCCACGTGCATAGGTGCTTAGAGCACTTGGTTGAGCCTCCCCGGTACTGGTTACCTTCTTATCTAGACTTTCTTCATTGTTTATTATAGTTTCATCTTGGCCAAAGAGCTTTTAAAAATCCTGGTGTCCAGGCTGTACTCCAAACCAATTAAATCAGAATCTCTAGGGTGGCAACAGGCAACTGGATTTTTTTTTCAAGTACTTCAGCTTCTCAGCCAGATTGAGATTCATTCACTTACTACTGGCACCTACCCAATCCCATGCTCCACTCCCACACGTCAGCCTAGTCTCTGGATTAAGGCTATTACACAACTGTATACATTCCTCTGCATTGCTCCTGAGCACTGACATGGGGCACCTCAAATTCCAGATCTCCAACCTATTTTAATACCTGACAATCCTAAAATATATAACTTCAGCCCCCTGGTTTCTTACTCCACTTGGAACCTGATATTTCTGGATCTTTATCCTACTTGAGCATCCTAGCCCAACTTCTAACCAGACCAGTGTGATAAAATTGAGGCCTGAAGAAATAACATGTCCTCCCTTGAAACTTCCTAAGTCTTTCAACTTGCACAAATTTTTATGGAGATTGAAAAATACTATTTCTGAAATAATTTTCTAAACTGTGGACTTAATTATATAGAAAGGGTTAGGTAGGGGCTCAGGAGAGTTGGGATCACTTGCAGGTTTTTGTCAAATAAGTATAAAATGGGATAATATGTATGAAAATATTTTGAAAAGCAAAAATGATAGTTAATGAAAAGCATTCCTATGTATCTTTTATAACTAAAGTGAATTTGATGCCATTCATTTACTTAATAGACATTTGTCAATCACTCTTGTGCCAGATACAGAGCTGGGTGTTGGCATGATAGATTATCACAGTACTAGTCATACTCAGTAAGCACATTTTAATAATATGCTTTTGGAACCGAAATCTGTTGTCTAGAGTTACCACCTTCTGATTTATTTTCCCTTACATGATATTTTTATATAATTTTCAAGGTTATATAAAATTTCCATTGTGTATGTTACACCCAGCCCGGTATATACATGCCAACAAATGTGAGACAATTGACAATTAAAAAAAAAACCCACACAGAATTAAAACTATTCAAAGAGTTTGAGAAAAACTGATTTTATAAACCATAATTTAATGCCAACATGCACCAATGACCAACAAGATGAGTTAAAAAATAAGGACAACTTGCAATGTTTGTACAACTGAACAATATTTCAATTAAGGAAACTCTTCAGCATGTGTTAAATGTGCAGCGTTATTAGGTAGGTACATTTTATATCTGATTTTCTTTTTAGAACCATGAAAACTCTAGAAACTTCATAGCAAAAATATAAAATGAAAATAAATACTCTACCCGATGGATCAAAATCCGGAAAATAATCTGGGCAGAACTGAAAGGTCAGTACTCCAGCCGGTGTGTCATCCCAGCACATCCATCCATCCCAGGTGCGATTGCAGTATGGACCTGGCCATTTAGAAAGAAATTAATCTTGAAGCTATGTGGCCTTAAAGAGGAGATTGACCCCACAACAATCTTACTTACCTATTACTCCAATCTCGATCATCTACATTTCAAATGAGACAAAGTCATTTATTTTGGAAGTAAAGTTTCAAATAGCGTTGGCATATCTGTGACCTGATTATGTCATTGGATGACAGGCAGGGTTCTAACCTTACTTTGTAAGAACTTCTAAAATTGAGCTTATCAAAAAGCAAGTATCACCAAAGACTGTTCTCCATTTGTTTAATTATAAGTGAGAACATGAATCTGAGGTATATGTTGGTTGTTGATCAAATGGGTTTTGAGGTGTTTTGATAAGTTTTTACTTTCTGAAACTTCATCCTTCTTTAAAATACCCAACTAGGAAGTAGGATTTAGGTTAGTAGGTCTTCAGTTCCTGTAAGATATGTTAAGTTTTTCCACCATTATCAGCAAAAGGATTTGAAGAGCAATTCTGTATAAGGGCATTACTTGAAAAAAATTCATGACACAGATTAATTCTTCAAAATTCTGAGATAAATTTTAAGGACAGGTATATTCTCAAAGAATAAATTTTGCATAGTTTATCAGTATGTTGCACCTAATCAATCTTTTCTTTAAGTTATTTATATTTATTTGTAGACAATGAAGTCTCTAGGAATTGACAATAGGGAACTGAATTTTCTGCAGTTTGTCCTTGGCAGTATGGTTTCTACAACTAAATGTTATATTTGGGAGTCCAGGTTTAAATTAGACAATTAAGATACAATTGAAAGTTGTCAAAAATTGTGGAATCCTGAGCAGGATTGAATAGTGTACAGAAAATTAAGTATCTCTTATTTTGGGAATTTCCACTTGGATATGAAAATATTAAAACAACAGTAGCAGCGTTGGCAACACAAAATAAAGGTATTAACTTTACCTACCACTAGTGGAATTTACATTTTGGTAGGATTTTCACCATTTGTTCTTCAAAAGATACATATCATATGTTTGGAATCTTTTTTCCAAAAGCTTTCCTTTAAAATATTTTCAGAAATGTTGCAAAGGAACTCTTGGGAAAGTTCATGCAATTTCACCTTGGATAAAAGATTGTCTTTAAAAATCTGTATGGCTTTGGAACATATGGATCCTACTAACCATTAACCTTCAAAAGGGTCACCTTAGATAGTTCTCTTCTTAATCCAAGGGTGATGAAATTGCTCAAAATTCCTATTGGAGATGCATTTTCAGCCAGTTAATAAAAAAGTCCTATTACTGTGGAATTAAACTTTGTTACTGACTAAAATAATGCTGTTTGATCACTTTAGGTATTCATCAGTATTGGCTCCAAGTGGTTTTTTGCTGTTTTCAAAAATTAAATATACCCTAAAACATGAAGATTTACCTCTATAAAGTTATTCAAAAGAACGAGTCTCAGGCTTTGAAGGAAGTTCTCATAAAAAAAAATTTTTTTTTAAATAATGACCATAGCACCTGAGTTCAACATTCTAAGGTGACTAATACAGTAGCATAAGAAACTGCACTCGGTCTCTGCAAATATCAGTTTTTTGTTTTTATTGTCTCAGTTTGCTTCAAAGAAATGGCTTCAGCTTTAGTTAGAGTTGCATCTAATGCCTATTTAGTTCTTGAGAACCACTGAAACTACCGCAGATAGAAGAATAACGTGTGTCTGCTTTTGAATTGACTTGATTTTTTTTGTTTAAAAGAAAATGCTAAAAATAAGAACTACAAATTAAAACTTGATTTGAATGCAAAGCATGTGTAGGAACAGTATATTTAACCTTTTTTTTTTTTTACCTACCAAGTAAGTTTGCCATAGAAAGTATAAGGTTGGGCAAGATCTTATTGAGTTTTTTCAAATGTTTTAGGGGACAGGGAAGAGAATTTAAACAAATGTTTCAACGTTTGCCCATCACATCTTCCCTTTTGTTTTCCTCTGGGCCCTCTACAGCTAATAGAATATGCTTAACCTTGAAAATATTTGGGCAGTCACATAGAACATTCTAGAAAAGATAACAGATAAAGTCTGTGTAAGAGATACACTTTTCTAATTCTCCTAGAAACTGAGGGTAGAAAGGGGAAAGGAATGGCATTGGTTGCCAACTGATTGACAGTTAAGGGAAGATACTACTACCTAATTAATCCAAGCAAGGCAGGGTTTTGACAGGTTCCACCTCAGGCAAATTCTCTGCCCACTATTTTTTAATTCCCCTTTCTATCAATTTCCTCTTCCCCTCCTTCACTTAGTCCTGTATTGTTCCTGCTTGCCAGGTGTGAATACTGCTTGCCAGGTGTGAATTATTGCAGTAATTTTGTCATGAGGGCAGATGTTAGCCAAACAGCAGTCAGATCAGATGAACTTGAGCAGAGAAATTTTGCATATTCACTGCATTAAATATACAAGCATACCATAGTGTGAAAACTACGGAAAAAACTGCTAGCATATTAAATTATAATTACTCAACACATATTTACCCATGGAAGAAAATAAGTCTTTAATGATGTTTCAAACATATGTTCACATACATCCTTCTCTTTACCTTCTCCTTGGTACGGGGGCAATTGTTGCATTCGTTCGTAGCACTTCTGCTTTGCCTCCATCAGCTTCTTTCGTCCTATGACGTACAGATATGGCTCAGGCTCTATTGTTGGTTTGCTTTTACTTGAAGAGGATGGAAGAGTTGGGGTTGGGTGCTGTATTAAAAAGAAAAAAACAGTTACTTATAGAGAGTAGGGATGGGTGAGCACATAAATAAATGAGACAATCAAAACATTAGAAAACATTTATTTTTCCTTCTATAAGCAATACTTATTCGTGGTCTCCATGTAGAATTTTTTTGCTTTATAACTAAAAAGCATATTTATACTTCATTTACAAAATTTACCTGCAAAATTTATACTTGCATTAGTTTCCATTCACTATTGAAAATGGATAACACCCACACATACTCACACACCTCTTGATCAGCTAGTATTGTTTTAATTTTATTATCCTTGTAAAGTTTAGAAGTAAACAAAGCAAATAATCTGATTTCCAAAAAATACCAACATTATATCAACTTTGCCTTACTCTTAAAAATCATGAATCATGTTATTAAAAAATAGACATAGTGCAATAAATATGCTTTTTTATTGAATTCTTTCAACTAAATTTTATTTGTGCTTGGATTGTGTACACTACCAGAAATTTATCCTATTTATTCCATAGAACAAACAAAATATGTTTTCTGCCTCTGATAATTGACCTTAACCTCTTTAAATTGGTTTCATTAGCAGATGATCTATACAGGGCAATCAATTTTCACTGATGAAAATCAATGTAATTCTTAAATATTTCTTTCAGCACATCTGCATTTTTGGTACAGGTTGACATTCGTTTTTCAGTTTCAGTTAATCACTATCACTATCACAGTTCTCTGTTTATCAAAGTTGTGTGTGTGTGTGTGTGTGTGTGTGTGTGTGTGTGTGTAAAAAGATCACTGGCTGTCATACTGTCATTTCTAACTGTATTTATATACACTTTAATTTCTGTTGTGGCTATGACCAATGTTTTTAGTGGTGCTCAGGTCTGTGGGGTTTTTTAAAATATCTGCATTCTTGCATTCTGCATAGAGATTATTTATTTATTTATTTATTTTTGGAGAAGATCTGCAAATTTAGGCCTTCCCTGACTTTCCTTCTTCTTAAGCTAGGAATATTGCTTGATTTCTATCACACTAGTTGAAACACTTTTATTTGGCCTTATTTCTGTCTGCATTATGATAAGAGGTTTTCCCAAGCATACTGATGACAGAAGTAGTGTTTTCACTCTTCTATTAGTATATACCCCAGTCTCCAAACAAAACACATCCCCATTAAGTTGACCTGTATATCCCTAGCTAATCATGGTGGGTCCTCACTGTTTTTCATTGTATGCTGTTATGTGTGTCCTATGTGACAGCCTATCACTAACTGCTAAGCTGTACAGCATATAATACAATCAAAATTCAGAGAGAGTATGGAGCAAAAGTACTCAGGATAGCAACAGATACAAGGTAAAATTTGAATTGGACCTTGAGCGTACATAGTGTCTGAATGGGCAGAGAGGAGAGGGAAGGCTTTCAGGATGGAGGGAAAGGAATGCACAAAAGTCTGGAAGTTGGAAATGGCCTGTGTGAGACACTGTGAGGAAACTATTCTGCCTGAAGGGGAGCATATTTGAGGGTAAGAAATAGGGTCAAAAAGGGTCAGAAAATGCAGAGCCTTGAAAGCCAAAAAAAAAGTTGAAACTTGTTTTGTTACTTTCAGCTGGTTAGAAACCTCTCTAGGTATAAGTTTCTTCATTGTAAAATGAGAATAGTAATAATGATAATAATATCTCTCCTCTGTGGATGTTATGAGGACAAAGAAGAAAACAAATACAAAGTGCCTGGGACATGAAAGGCTCCACATATCTTAGCTAATATTATTAAAATATGATAATAAAATAAATATGTTTTGCAGATTTTGATCAGTGAAGGTCGTGAAGGAGAATTTTAGTAAAATTCATATGGCAGGCAGCAGATGTCCACAGGTTAGAGTTGGGGAGGGCAGCCAGGAAGTTGACGGCCTGGGCCAGGTCACCCCATGTGCAACTCTTAGCACCTTCTCAAATAACAAAGACGTGAAGGCATATCTGAATATAAGAAATGGAGAACAGTAATAGTCAAATAGCCCAGATATTTAGTCTATATAACTGAAAAAAATGGTAGTTCTCTGGGAAAAGGGAGATATTGGAAAATGAGACCCTTAATAGTGGAAAGAAAGTAAGTTCTCTTTTGGATTTATTTTGGAAAGGCCAAGTAAGTCATCTGAGTAGAAATCACTTCCAAAGAGGGTGTATACTTATTGCCATTATAACATTACTATTATAACTCTAAATGGAAAACTATTGTGAATAAAGTTGACATTACTCTTTAAATACTAAGGTCATTTCTAATTATAATGCTTCTTGAATTTATGACAGAAGAAAGAGAAATTAATGAACCCACAAAAGTGATTAAAATGTGCAAATCCTTTACCAATGTAGCTGAACACAATTCTGTTGACATATGACTCTATTTCTACTTGTTTTCAGATCAATCGGTCAGCAAATATTCATTAAACTTGATAAACCAAACATTGTGCTAGATGCTGGGGATGCAGTGTTGAATAAAACAGGTGTGGCTCTTGCTCTCATGGAGCTTATAGTCTAGCAAGAAGGACCAACACTATATTTTATTTTAATTTAAATATTTTAATATTTTCTTGACACCAGAAATTGTGAACAATAATAAATCATCAATCATAAAATTCTCAGGTATTTCATTGGAAATTGGAACATGGTTTGTGAAACTTAAAAAAAAGTGTTTTGAAGAAATTCTATGTTGAAGCTTCTTTTTGTATTTCATTAGCCTGTATTTGTATGAATGGGTGTTTGTGTTTTGTAAATTCAACTGATTGTCATGTAACCATTAAAGCAGGGAAGGATCATGGTGTCCTCACAGTACAGATATTAATGATTGGTTCAGTTTATGCATTTATTTAAGATTTGTATTTTGTGTCTCTGTTCTTACAATCTTCAGTTGATATGAGAATTAGTTTATATATTATTATTATATTATTAGTTTATATATTATATATATATATTAATTTCTGGGCTATTTTCTCACCATCTTCAAGTTAAATTAGAAGATGGAATAGGATGGGCTATATAAATTTTATCTGTCATTTGTACTAGATACTTTAGATGTTAGAAACTAGTTTGCTTAAGGCTGACTTTCTCTGCAGAAGTAACATTCTGAATTCTGTCTTTATATGGCTGACAACCAACTAAAGAATGTTCCTGCTCTATTTGGAAATTCATGGAAGCCATGGGGAAATAGTATGTGCAAGAATATCAAGTGGAAAACCTAAAATGTTAGGTTTAATCTAAAATGTCTTTTAAATTATATCCTTATTTGGTTTAATACAGTTTTAACATCAGTAACAGTGGAGATATGACCATCTCAGTAAGAATAAGTATAGTTCATGCTGATGACAGTAGCTTCAATCTTACCATTCTTGCAATATTGAAACAAACTCCAGTGAATTTGGTTTGAAGCCTGGTTCACTAGAGATTGTTTCAACACTGAAGGAATGAGAAATTAGAACCTCCGTTGTTAGATGAGCCGTGATAATCTGCGACGGTCCCTGGTCTGGTTCATATTCAAGCAAGATGAAATTTTTCCAGCGGTAGATGAATGTCTCAATGACTTTCTTCCTAAAAATAACATACACATTGGGGCATTCTCTTTATATATACAGTCGTCCCTTGGTATTCTTGGGGGATTGGTTGCAGTACCTCCTGCAGATACCAAAATCCATGAATGCTCAAGTCCCCCATATAAAATGGTGCAGCATTTGCATAGGTGTACATCCTCCCGTATAGTTTAAATCATCTCTGGATTGCGTATAATACCTAATACAGTGTAAATGATATGTAAATATATATTATACTGTATTGTTTGGGGAATAATGACAAGAAAAGAATCTGTACATGTTCAGTACAGATGCAATTTCTTTTTCAAAAATTTTCTGTCTAAGATTGATTGAATCCACAGATGCAGAATCCATGGCTATAGAGGGCTGACTGTATATAGATAGAGGATAGGTAGAGAAATGTAAATATACATGTAGATATAAATACTATCTGTATATAAAATTACAAACATTTAATTATTACTGTTTAAAAATTACATATGTATAAATTTCATAAGATTTACTAAACATTACAATTTGTATGATAATTTTATACAAATAAAAATGCCGATAAGGTGATATTATTTTCAGCAATAAAGAGGCAAAATAAAGATAGTAGTGATTAGATAAAGCTACCAAGTAATGTGAAAGACTTAAAAACATTCTACTTATCATAAGTGTTATGTCTATATTATATATTTGTGGGATTTAAATAAATACATGATAATATGCTCACATGAAGATAGAAATGAGGCATATTGCTTTTTGGAATAAAAATAAGTGTTCAAAGTTTTGCATACAAACAACCTTACATGATTCTTCAAAAAACAAGCAAACAAACAACCTTTTAATTGTTGTCCCATGTAGCAGTTTAGCTGCCGTATATGTGATGTCACTCCTAAAAGTTCAAGTAAATGGCGCCACACATACGACAACCAAGCTGCCACCAATAGCAGTTGTCAGCAGCCGAAACATCCCTGGTTCTTTCAGTCAATATGTACTTTGAATGCCTTCCATATGGCAGGCACTGTTCTAGGTTCTACAAATTCAGCAATGAATAAGTCTGGCAAGAATCCTGCCCTCAGGAAGCTCACATTCTAGACAATTTCATCTACAATAACCATGGAGTTCAGAGGAAAGCAATTTGAAATGGCCATATGCTTAGGCAATTCCTACTTTGATGTAAGACAATCAGCTTGTTTTGGGGTTACAGGTAGTTTCCAGAAGTATAGAGATGGAAGAGTTACACAGCTGTTCTGTCTGTATCTTTGAGAGATGTTCCACCTTTGCAATAGTTCAAGCCCGCTGAATGTATGGACCCATCCTATGGGGCTGAAGGGAGAGCTTGCTATTGATTGCCAAAGGCAGAACTGCTCTAAAAACAATATGAAGCCAGAATCCACCAATGTAATCAACAGGATTTCCATGTCACCATCCTTAATATTGACAATGTATATGTTAAAATTATTTATGTTTTTCAGTTGCTTGTAGTTTTGAAAACAGCAAAAAACGAAGTACAACTTTGTAAAATATTAGCACTGTTTCTTCCAGGTAGGATCAGAGGCTTCGTTGGTATTCTTTGTACTGTCTACTCATGCATTGCATAAACAATGAAATTTCTGCATATATCACATATTCAAAGCAAACAGGGGTACGTAGCTAAGTAAACAGCAACAACAAAATGCTTCTCGGAAGAACCTAGTTTTTCTGTCTTCATCTTTGTTGTTTGTTGTCCCTGTTATCATCATCATCCTCCTAGCATTTTTTGAGAGCTCACTCTGTACCAGCCACTGTTCTAAGCCTATTGTATTACCTCAGGGGAAGGCGAGGAAGTGAATGGGTGGTTTTGGTTAATGGAAAAAGGCTAAAGGAAGATGGTGACCCAAATTGATACTTCAAAGACCATATGGAAATCCAGTTGGTAGAATTTCATAAATAGAGTTTTTTTCCATAATAATGTATTATCTAAAAAGTGATGTTTTGGATTAATTAATAATATTTTCATTAAAAAATTACTTTTTCCCTGAGGAGTATCAATGTGGAACATAATGAATGTTTTGAAGAAATTGATGGATCAAATTTTGTTTTATGAGCAAATCCTTCAAATCAAATATATAATACAAATACAGACAGAAAAGCAATTCTCTTTGCCACAGAAAAGAGAGCACAAAGCCATTTAAGTGCTTTGTTCAGTTATGTTTGCTGATAAAGAGATGCCCAAAGACCACAAAATATTTCTGTCTATAGCTCATGCAAAAATATGCAGTTTTTTAATATTGAAATTGTAGAATATAATAGATAAAAGCTTTGAATAAAAATGACCTACTATAGTTTTTTAACACACCAAAAATTATCTGTAGTTTTCATAGTAAAAAAGGTAATTAGATAATCTTCAAACTATTTCATTAGTGTTTAGTGGTTCCTTTAATTTTTCTTCTATCATTCCCAATATAATGACATGCTTTATGAAATGAAATTATTTGGAAATATTCACATGGGATTTCATTTGAGCTATGAAAAATAGCAATATGAATTTATGAATAATATATATCAATATTTCTGCATGTATAGAAGACCACATAAGGCTTGGTAATTTGCAGACAAATTAAAATATTCTATTAGATTCTACAATATTCTTGTGTGTGTTCTTATTACATTTCTAATGGCATGAAGTAAGTTGCATTTGAAAATACTAGATTACTTTCAGAAAATTATACTGTAATTTATCTAAAGAAATATTTAATAGGTTAAAATAATATATAACAGTCTGACATAATAAAATAAACTATACTCATTATCCAAATAAGTGCAAAAGGGTTGCATTAACAATCATTCCTATAAAACCATTTATTTGATGTATAATATTACAAAATAAAAATTCTCTTATAAGTTAAATTAAAATTTATGGAACACTAATATATATTTTCTTGAATAATGGAAAGAGAAACAGTATAGGCAGACTTGTAAGCCTGTGCTACACATTAATGAACAATGGAAATCCTGGAACCCTGTGCAAGCTTCACTTGGGGTCAGTATGACAATGTGAGATACTGAGTGATGTTTACTGACAGCTGTAATTCATTGGTAAATGTTATTCTGGCGAGGTAGGATAAGGAGCAACAACTCCAAAACGATTTATGTATAATTTACTCATCTCCCTTTCATGTGCTACCGAAGCTGATGTGATGGTGGGTTAACAATGTCGACACAAATAAATAGTCATTGATAGTGTTTTCTAGGATGATTATACTATTGACTACTTGCTAAATCTTTTAGGAATAAAGCAATATAAAATTACATAAATTGAACATGATTTAAAAAGCTGGAGAAACAGTTATGCCATGATAGTGGTATATAAGACTTGGAGATTCTTAGTCAGTTTTTGATGAAAAATACATTCGAAATCAATAACCAGACTGAAAGAGTTTAGATGTTTTAAAATGACTGAACAGCCCAGAAAATGTGTTTCAAGACCACATGTCAAACATGAAGAACATTTTATCTGAGAATGTTATTAGCCTTTTATGTTAATTTCTAAGATAATATGAAGATGTCTCAAATTCGTGCTAAAATTTTATAAAGAAACAGAGCTCAAACTTCTGGATAAACCATAACATTAAATTACTGGAAGTTCAGAAGGGAGATTTATTAACAAAATATTAAGAAAAATAATGGTTTTGAAGAGCTTAATTTTGGCTTCTGGAGAACTATGCCTGCCCTTGCAAATGCCAATTCAAGCACACTCAAAACACTCTTCCTTATTTAGCATTCTTAATTAACATGGCTTAGAATAATTTGTTTTACTTACATTTAGAAGAATGAACAGTGCCAACAACCGGCACGTAAATTTCCACTTCATTTTTGGTTTTTAAAGATCTCTCTTTGTCCTAGAAAAATATAAAAGTAACAGATATTTAAATTAGTATATCACCAATATAGACTATAGACTTTCTTTTTCTATTAGACTTGAAGAGGATAAATGTCCCAAGACAACCTACAGAAAATACATGTAAGAACAATTTGTGATGCAAACGCAGCTGCATGTTCCACTGCACCTCCTGTCAACCAGATTGTTGTACCTAGGTCCCTCCTATTAAGAAATTTTGGAGCTACTTTGCATATCAGGACCAAAATAAAGAAATTCCAAGAAATCAAGAGCAATCCACATTGATTTCAGTTAACTGATGTCATCAATAGAACTGCCGGAATGCAGACATCCACAAAGAAGACACCTTACTGGACGTGAACAAATAAAATCTATGATTTGTGACAGATTAATGGTCATGTCCTCTAGGTAATCAAAGGCCAACTCTAACAGTAATCTTATTTAGACTTTTGAGTATTTTTCTTTCCTATAAATATTTCTTCAAGCTTCAAGTTGCTATTAAGAATAAAATTCTTCCACAGAAAGGATTTGAGTACATGATCTAACAGTTCACTATTCCTACTCATAAGCATAAAAGTCAGAATAGGCTGCTTTGTCACAAATATCAAACAGTTTTTCATGGCTCTGAAGATAATTTTACACAAGGAAAGATAATAAAGGGGTGAACATTTGCAATGTATATACATTTCTTTTCATCCATGGGATTTGTGTGAAAACTACATTTCAACCAGGGGTGAGTGGTTACGATTGCATCTGAAGTGGTAATGATTGCCTCTTACACTGTTATATTCATTGTATCATGTACAGATCTTCCATATTCTGCCAGGTATAAAGTATGCCTAATATATTTGCCCCCCAAGGAGTAAATTCTATTCAATCTACATATTGGTATTATAGGAAATTGAGAATGTAAAGTATAATTTTGAAATGTCATCTTATATACTGACCATTATTCACTGTTGCTGATTTTCTTCATGTCCACTCAGTAAATTAAACACACACACACACATAACTGTATTAGGTGCTGAGGCACTACAAGGGATGGAAATCTGGGTGAGCTGGACTAGATATGGCTCCATTATATAATGAGACACTGCGTGTGAGGAGGGAGTAGGTATGAATGATACAAGATATGGCAAAATGACTAAAATGCAGGCTGGGTAAAAGGTTCAATAAAATTGTGAGACTACATGGCCTAATAGAAAGCCATATAATTTCTGATTAGGGGGACAAGGGCAGAATTTATATTTTGAGATATAATTTGATAACTGAATAGGATTCTGAAAAGCAGAGACTACAAGGCAGAGAAAGCAGATTAAAAACAAGATATGGAGATAGGAAAAATTAGGGTAATTAAACATAAATGAATACAACAATTTAGCTGGAGCATAGAAACTCTTAGAAAGTAGAGAAACGAGGCTGGAAAAGTAGGTTTTGAGTGCTTAGGAAATTTATGACTCAAACCACCCTTTTGGCACTTTGTGTATCTTCCATGCATTTTCATCTACATATATACACACATCCTAACAGGCTTACCGGATGCTAAAACCTTTTTCAGATAAGAGTTATTTTTTAAATATCTATGCATCTCTGGCACATCACACAATTACTTACACATGTTTATTATTATTGATAAGACGGTGGTTTGTGATTTAATGAATTAAATGAAACAGAACTCTGTGATTTTTTACAACTGTATTCTCGCCACACCACCCCATTAGCAAATCTGAATGCATTATTTTCCCTCTTCAATTTCTTGCATTTTCCACATCAGTGACTTGCACAGTTACTCATGAATTGTCCAAATGAGAAACTAGTGATCCCATTCACTTCTTCGTCCCCCACATCTAGTCTTCAGGGCTCTCTGATTCGTCTGCATTTTGGTATCTTTTCAAACATTTCCACCCTCTTCCCCACTTGGGTGCAGTTTGGTCATCATCTTTCTCACCAGGGACCTGGCAACAGCCCCGATGTTCCAAGTGGAAACTAGACCAGTTTCCCTGCTTCAAGTCTTGATCCCTCCAACCCATTTGCTATAGTAAAATGAGTATACTCTCATCCTCCTCCAGCAATTCCCTGCAAACTTTAAGTAAATGCATAAAACCATTTGCTAGGAATATAATACAGGCCCTCCTACAGTAACAAGCACCAGTATGATCATGAAGAGAAATAAAGAAAGAGAAATTAAAGTTGCCTCTTAGATTTCTGGCTTGGTAAATGACAGATATTGAAGGAATTCAGGAGAGGAAAGTAGGTGAAGAAGGCGGCACTTTTAATTTGTGTCTTTTCCCTTAATTGGGAATATTACTACCTGAGTATATTGGGTAAGAGTTCCTAGTGTGAAAGTTACAGCTTTTGAAATGTACACATAATTGTGAAAATGACACAGTTTTCCTTAACTACATCCTGATTTTTAGTAGGAAATCATAGACATACATTAAATTCCTAAAGGTCTGTTGCTCATGATAATCCTGTGATTTAGCCTCTGAGAGAAGCAGGATGCATGGAACATTACAGGTGTCAGAATTAAAAGCCAGATCTCTTCTTGACATGAAAGCTCTGTTCTTTAATTCTAAATGCAGGAATTAAGCATGGCGAGAAGTCAGCTTCTTTAGGAAGAGTGAGTATGTGGCCATTGGGCAGTTAATTGGCTTGTACTATCTATGCCATATATTTGATGTCATTTGATATTTTATAATGTAGAAGCCACTCAGTTTGACTGAATAGTATCATTAAAATGAAGAGCATTGGAGGTGGTGGGAGACTTGTTACCTTTAAGGTGAATGGAGCTGCACAGTCACCTTGCTGTAGGAGAGAAGAGCCCCACGGTTTCAAAGCCCCACACACTGCTTTTACAATCTTACCACAACTAAGGGGAATGGAAATAGTGTGAAAACCAATCTGAGAGTGAACACCTGGAAATGACAGAGAGGGTTTAGCCAAGAAACACAGTCGTTTCTTTGTACCTATTATTTGAAGAGGTATATAATTTTAAAGACTTAGATTATTTTGAAACATAACAAATGCCTTCTCTCCAAATTTAGAGTAGATCTCTGCTGCACTGAGCCTGCCTCTAGTCAGAAAAGTTGAACTGTAATTGTCCTGGGTTAAACAGTGCCTTGCAGATATGACTCTTTGGACAAAGCACTTCATGCTGATTCCTGATTCCTGAGGGGGGAAAATATAGGTAGAATGGGAAGAACGAAGGGGTTTTAATTAGTTTCAGAGAGAGAAAAACAAGGCAAAGAAGAGTAGAATCAGAATGGAGAATGAGATAATTCACCTTTCCTAAGATTATTAAAAGGAAGGAGAAAAAAGAATGAGAAAAAAGAGTTAACGAAAAAATCCAGAATGAACTGATAGAGGCCGATGTCTTAGCTGAAGAGATGATTAAAAGACAGGAGGAAAGGATGGATAGATTGTAGGGTAGAATCTAGAGAAAGACTAATGTGAGATTTCAAATAGTCTGGAGTCAGGGTGATATTGGTTTTGTTCAGAGTTCAGTGACCTTGAGGAGAATAGTTTTGACCTGTGGTTTAGAGAGTTAAACCTGAACCCAGGTAGGAAGGCCAACATCAGCACGCAGCAGTTAGTGGAGATAAAATGCACCTGGGAAACTTTCAGTTGGGAATGGGAACAGGTGGGATGGACGGCCTATGATCAGGAAGATGACTTAGAGAAAACCAGAAAAAGGCATAACTTTGACATCAGGTTATTTATTTACTTGCTTCTTGATAAATTACCTTTTCCACAGCAAGGACTTTGTTCACTCTTATAACCCTAGAACCTAGAAAAGACCCTGGAACATACTAAGTGCTCAGTAAATGTTAGTTACTTTGTTTAAGGGATAATTTAAGGACAGAACCTAGGGAATGTCAATCTGGGAATTTGGTAGACAGGAAGCATTGTTCTTTTCTTAAAGAGCCCTAATCGTGAAGCCAAGAAATTCTAATTTCTGCTACTGCTTTTATTTCCTAGTTTGGGACAAAGAGCTTCACCTCTATGCCAGTCTCCTATCTATAGAATGACTACTTAGCCACACTCTCCTTGAATAAAAGATCACATTTTCATATGTGGAGCATATTAATCCCTTTGGACCTGTCTCAGAGTCTGTTTACTTATGATAGTGGTTTCTGAGATACCTTTTAATCACATTTTCAAATGAAGTCTCTTGCTGGAGCTTCATATATAAACTAGATGGAGGTAGAGCCTAAAAACCTGATTATGGAGACTGATTTAGAACATGGAAATGAATAAACCATTGTCAGAGGTTCGATTACTCATGGCATAACAGCATCTATGCTGGTTTATATCCACAAATGGGCATTCACCACTAATCCCCTCTCTAGAAAATTGCATCTCTGGGTTGCAAAAGTGGATGGATCAGTGGGAACATTCCTCCTGTGAATAAATAGAGTCTAAATTTTTAATTCAATGATAATGATTGAATATAATAATCTTCATGTAAGTGGAACAAATTTCCTTGAAAAGTAGTTACACGATCTTTATTTATTTATTTATTTTTTGTGGAAAGATTACAAAATGTCAACGTCTGAAAATAATGTGTCTGTTCTCATAGATCAGTATTTCCAAAAGCACGTTCCATAGAAGAGTAGTAATCCCATGAGAAGCAGCATAAAATAAAGTTTCCATGGCCAAATAAGTTTAGGAAATTATGTATTTAGTATTCTTTTCTAAGAGATTTACCATAGACATCGGCACTTTAAAGATTCTAAGTCTCCTGTACTAAAAGACTCCTTTGACTTTAACTCTTCATTCCCCAAACCTGTTTGACCACGAAACACATTTTTTTGTGTGTGATAACAACTAATAACACATCTATAGAATACACTTTGGAAAATGCTCTCTTAGCTCTCTTAGGTCAATTTCTAACCTACTCTAGTCAATTAAGCCTTCAAGTCATGAGAACAAGCTACCCTTTTACTTAAAAATGCCCTTTCTTCTTCATGAAGCAAAAGTGGAATTTCTGAGGACTTAACC